TTTAATACAAAGAGGTTACAATTATTCTTGTTTGTCAAATTATAAACCAAGGTAGTTATAAGTATGTCTTAACTAACTCAAAGTTCATAAAGAATAATTCAAACTTCGTGACTTACCCCAAAGTATCCAATTTGACATCTAATGACTAAGAGTGATTATGATCTTCTTATAATAATAACATAATGAAGTTTCTATAAGACGTAAGCTTTATAAAAACAAAATAAAGCAACACATCAAATCCTAGTCCGAAAAGCAATTTTGGTAACAAAAATCTTCATGATGGACAATAAAATTTGAAACTGAAAAAGTACAAATCTTGCTGATCTATGAATATTTATTTTTAGGGCGAAATGGATGGTCTAAATAATTTGTTACAATATACATTATTGTTAGATCTTAAAATCCTAATTTTTTTCATAACCGTAATGTTCAAGTTGAGATGCTTGATGTAAAGGGTTTCCAATACTTGTATTGCAATTTTTGATGAGTTATGAGGTGAAGCTTTGTTTATTGAAAAAACTTTATGTAGAGCCGATGCTCTAAGCAATCAAATTAGAGCTTACCTTGAAAATTTCACTAAAAGGTGTTGTTTTGATGCCCAAATATCCTCAAATTGATCATCTCGACAGCAAAATGTATGGAATTGGGAAAAAAATGGATTTAAAGTTTTGAAAATAGTGCATCTTGTAATGCATTTTTTATCCGTCAATTTTCAAGTTTTCATTGATCTACTCGATCTACACTATTTTTTAAGCTTTAAATTTTATAATTAGAGATGAGAGTATATTTTAAGGCTATCACAAAGATTTCTAATATTGAAACCATATTTTTTAATACTATTTGAAGATGTCCTTTACTTTGATTGTTTAGAACTGGATTCTATACAAACCACACCTTTACTTATTTTGATAGAGCTGCAGGCCTAACAAACCATTTTCCTAATAAGGAATAAATAGTCTCACAGATCACTTAATTTATTTATATTCCTCAAGAAGAATATTGACGTCCATATAGTACCAAGGGAGAGCATAACGTACACATACTGTAGGCTTGAGTCCAAAAGCAGGGTGCGAAGTCCGAACTGTACACATTTTGCACAGAGTGCAAACGCCTGTCTCTGATGGCTTAATTTGTTTTCTTTAATGTTTCAAAACAACCAATTTTGGACTACACTGATTATTATGTTGTGGTCATGAGGACAATATCACCTATATAGCCCTTAGAACATAGCTTTATGTGGTCTGAGGCTTATGGATGAATACCATTTTGGTAGTCCCTATGGTGCACTTAACATTTTCTTCCATGTTTCACATAACATGTATGACACCCTACTTGGCTTCAAATTCATTAGACACGTAACTGGCCTTTCTTGTCAGTTATGGTTTTATGACACCTAACTGGCTTTTAATCAAAATAATTAATCAAACCACTATGTATTAAGGAATTTTTGTATTAAAGAATTTCTAATGCAAAACAAGATAATCATCTTCATTAATCAGCATAACCACTCTGGTGGACAGGCCACCCAAGATAAAACTAGGCATTCCTTAAATGGAAACGATAGTCTCCAATCAAATACCATTGAAGCAAGTTCTTATAACATTTAGGTACTAATTTCTCAAACACAAATGTGATAGTATATTTTAATACCGTTTATAGTTTTTTTTTGTTTTTTGGGCGAGTCAATGGGGAGAGGGCCCTACTTTGATAGGAATTAAGCGTAGAATATAGCATTGTAAATCGTTACGTACTAACCAATTAAACCAGGGCTCTTTTCTTAATATTGTTCATATTAGGTATTAGGATATCACAATCATCCCATGGCTTGGCTGAATTAACTCTGCATCATCCAATTACCTTGAGTTTTATGTATAACTTCGGGGTATATAGATTCTTTTAAAAAATGTTAAAAATAGTACAAAAAGAGAATGTCATATAAATTTTTTGTATACAAAGTGGATGTTTTATAAATTTTTTGCATACAAAGTGGATGTTTTTGGCAAAAATTGGTGACTATTTTTTTTATCATTGTTGAAAAAAAGAATAGTGGGCTTCCAACTTTTGATTGGGGTGATGCTGTTATAGACTGTATATCACATAGAGATTAGGATTTCTCCATAACTATGAAGAATAATATCTAGGTGTGTTCTCTCATGACCATGAAGACCCTATCACACGGACAGGGAAAAACTATTCTCTAATATTAAGCTTTTCTTCTTGAAATATGTGAGAAGTAGCACTTAAAATCTGGGAGCAAAGAACGTACACAAGCGACTGTTAAAAAAAAAAAAACACTCCCTCTCTAAAAACCTGTTTAAAGATAAGAATAAATAATATATAATATATTTAAAAAATATAAATTAAGATAAATAAAAAATATATATGGTAAATGTGACGCCCTGTGGTCACATGCGCACCAATATCTCTCACTTGGTTATGATGGTTGAATACATTAATATACCATAAATCATGTGATGCATAACATATTTAACCTTTGTGATTATATCCTTGTCATGAGGTTTTTCGCATTAATGTGGTTATATATCTCATGACGTAAAAATTATTCATAGTTTCGTCATGGGATTTTTTATATTAATACGGCTTTTCCTATCATGATTTTTCACCATCATCATCTTCATCATCCAAGCTTTATCCTAATTAGGTTGGCTACATGAACTCTTTTCCTCTCATGACTAAGACATAAAAAAGAAAAATCCCTTTTATAAGTTTCTTAAATGTTCCTAAGTCCTAACAAAGTCATATGATTTGAAAATATTCATCACTTAATCCTTTTTGTCAAAGGGTCTGGAATCATGTTAATTGATGATAAATAACCTAGCGGTTCTTTCACTATTTTCAATAATATCATAAGTTTTGAATTCTAATATATTACTATAAGCAATATATTTGACTTCTATAATATGCCGAGCTACACTACCTTATTTTTTGCTTGACCGATAGACACATCCACCTCTAAAAAAAATACATGTTATCGTGTTATTTTTCTATCATACGGGTCTCATACAAAGTCTACATCGGAGTATCCACTTATATCTAATTTATTAGCTTGAGAATTGCTGATCTAGATTGAAAATGGCCATGATTGAATTGGTTATCAGTACTGGCATAGTCCTCCTAAAATCCGCTCTTTTATTTATTTATTTATTTTTTTAATTTTTACTTAAAAGATATTATACCAGATGGGGAGTATATCGTCCATCAATCTTTTGGGTAAAAGCCCTTTTAGGATCAATTTAAGGGCTCCAAATTTCGAGGATGTAATATCTTCAACCCATAGATTATTTCAATAAAAAGAATTTCTTAATTGCACGTTCTATGTACTTGAAAAAAAAAATTCATGATTGCACCATCCAATTTTTAGAGCATGAGATATAAGTATTAGAAAACTTAAAATTCAATTTTTCTTTATGAAAATAATCATCTAGTGATTGTTGAGTGGTTCAAAAAATGATAAATTGAAAAAATTCCTCCTAAGTAGTCTTCATACCGAGAGAGTAGATGTACATTATGATCCTGCAAGAGCATAATATACGTGTGCTTTTCCTAACTTCACCTATTTTTATCGGCTATCTGTGGGGTAGACTACCTATGAGGTTTCAAAACATTGCGTAAAACCAGGAGCATTTCACCGAAATTTAAGTTGGGCACGGTTTTTATGAGTCTCCATACTAATATGTAGAAATGCGCCCCCTCTTAATAATCGTTTTTCAAAATAAAATTTGACCCTAAATTTTAAGGAATGTATTATCTCTAACATGGAGATTATTGTTATATAAAAATAACTAAAAATTTAAAATCTAGAAGGATAATATTTTTTGAAAGAAATATTTAGACTAGCGGTTTTAATTTTTTGAGAGGGACCACCACCATCGGGACGCAAATGTAGGAATGCGTGCCCTCACGCATATAACACTTTTTCATCTTTTACTTGTACGTCAAGGGTGAGGTCTGTTTAATTGCTTCCTTATTCTACGTACTGCTAAAATTTGCATGTAGATCTCGTCCATTGTTTTTTCTAATTTAATTTTTTTTATGTAAAAACACGGATGTTTTGGTGTGTAACTTGAAAATCTATTTTTCATCTGTAGTTATAAAAATTAAAATTTCAAAAAGAACAATTGTTTCATGCGGGTTGGAACGCATTTGTACAATATATGGTCCAGAGGTATAAAGCATCTAAGCAGTCCATCTAAAAACAATTGTAACTAACATCTAAATATTTTCTTAGCATAATTATTATTTTTAGTTTTCAAAAGTTATTTATTTTTTTATATTCATGATTTTCATATTAAAGATTATATATTTTCTAAAATTTAAGTTCAAATTATATTTAAAAAATATATTTATTGCCAAGCCTGCAGTTGTACATGTGCGAGTTTGGTCACATACTAACCGCATCTTTTAAAAAATGATGTAGATCGAGCATATCAATATACACTGAAAAATCTTAAAAAAAAATTGTTTATATAATTTTTTACAATATGAACTATTTTTTGCATTTAAATTTTTTTTTTGTTTTCATGTTCATACGTATGGAGGTCGAGATGATCGATTGGATTAAGAGAGGATTCTCATTTTTATGGTGCACCTCTAAGGTTGCAACCTTATATATAAATTTTTTTTTATGTATATAACTTTTCCCTTTGAGTTAAAGTCGCACCGAAATCCCAACTGAAAATTCCAAAAGGAAAACGAAAAGGAACTAATAGAGAGGGAATTTAAGGGTAAATCCGGAATTACATAAAAATGAGGGGTAAGTCCCTAGTCTTTTATTGCGACGTTGCGCCAACGTGTCACCGTTTCAACTCGGATCCAGATTCAACAGCATCACAGAACCAACATCTGACCGTCCAAATCAAACACAACCAACGGCTGACGATCACGATCCTTGTGCTGGCTCCTGATTGGCCCGCTCCATCCTGAAACCCACACTATAAATACCTCCAAAGCGGTGCTTTTCAAAATTCCATTTCTTTATCGTCTGTTTATTCTCTCTCGAAAAGCCTCTTCTTTCTCTCTCTACAAAAGCCGGAAGCTCCTCGCTCTCTTTCATCGACCAAAAACCAGAAGAGATGGCGGGTAGAGGAAAGGCCATCGGAGCAGGAGGGTCTAAGAAGGCGACATCGAGGAGCAGCAAAGCTGGTCTCCAATTTCCGGTGGGCCGAATTGCTCGATTTTTGAAGGCAGGGAAATATGCAGAGAGGGTTGGTGCTGGTGCTCCTGTTTATCTTGCTGCTGTTCTTGAGTATCTTGCTGCGGAGGTAGCCCATTTTGTTTTGTTTTTTGTTTTGGGTTTTTTTGGTTTTTGGTTTGTGGTTCTTGTTGATTCTTGCTTTCTTGATTTGGGCGAAATCATTCATTTTTTTCTTTCATTGACTTGGTTATGATTTGGGTTCTTATATGTCATTCTTTGGTGTCTTTTGAGTAAAAGTTTATTTTGTTACTGTGTTGGTTTACTTTTGCGAGGACTTCCCTCTGCTATAAATTTCTTGCTTTTTCATGCACAAACTGTGAAAGTCTCTAGATCTGATGAAATCGAATTACTAAAAAGATAATTTTGGCTGTTTATTATTTGGCCTAAGTTTTATTGCCGCTAATATGAGTTCATTTTTGGTGCCACAGTTTCTTGTTCCATTTTTTTTTTGTGAAAACAAAAAAATGAGGTTTAAAAGTGATGTTAAGCATGATTAATTTTGTTACAGGTGTTGGAACTTGCTGGAAATGCTGCTCGTGATAACAAGAAGTCAAGAATTGTTCCGAGGCACATCCAACTTGCAGTGAGAAACGATGAGGAGTTGAGCAGGTTGCTTGGGACTGTCACCATTGCCAATGGTGGGGTTTTGCCAAACATTCACAGTACCCTTTTGCCCAAGAAAATAGCACCCAGTGGTGGTTCAAAGGCATCTGCTGAAGAGTAGAGAGAATGGCGTTTTCTCTAAATTAGGGTTTTTTATTTTTATTTTTAGGGATTTCTTTTTGTTGGGCACCTGTAATGTACATTCCCGGTAAGAACTGATGCTTAGCCTCGTTGGGTTCTTTGGATAATCATTTGTTAATGGAATATGGGATTTTTAATGTGGTTATTTTTTCTATATGTATTATTTCTGCTTCTCTACTTGTTTTCATATTTTGGTTTATCTTTTCTTGGATTGATACTCAATTCCAGTTTTCTCTTGTTGTTGTGTTTATTCTCTCTAACCTTATTTCTGTGTGGTTCGATGTAATGGAATTGCTGGTGTGGTAATGAAGTTTGATATTTCCAGTTATGTAGAAGTTAAAAGTTTTCTGAAATGAATCTTACAGATTGGTGTTTGGACTTGGCTGAAAAATTAAACTGCAAAATTTAGAAAACTAGGGGACTGGAATGGAGCCATTCTGCGTGCCCCATATCCATGTTGGATTTTGGGTCGAAGCGGGGTGAGTCTGGTTCGATTCACCTACCATTTGTTAAAGGAAAAAGTTCATATTGAGCCGAGGCGATCTCATATATCCTCCAATTTGATCTTCTTTAAATTAAAATGGATGAGGGAAAAAAGATCAATTTCAAGTTTAGTAAATAATGCACCTTGTAATACATTTTTCTACTGTCAATTTTTTTAAATTTTTTTTTTATTTTTAAATTTTCATTGATCTATTTTTGCTAGACTTTATTTAGAGCTATAAATTTCATAATAAAAAATAAAAATATATATCTTATTACAAAAATTTTAAGGTTTAAATCACATTTCTTGATACTATTTGAAGGTATGTTTTATTTTGATTGTTTAGGGCCTCGACTTGGCTCTCCACAAACTGCACGGATTTTTAAAACGCAAACTGCACGGATTTTAAAACGCAAGTATTTAGTTTTGGCGGGAGACTCATTGTTTTGAAATTTGAAAATTTGATGGAAAGGCGGCACTCCAAGATAATCTTATTTCCTCTTTCTATTTTTTTTTTCTTATTTCATTCAAATCCATGGAAGTAGAGCTTGCACCGGTGGGTCGCCCTTCTTTCCATGAAGAAGTGCATCATCATAGGTTTTGTTACGCCACACCTAACCCTTACAACTTTAGCCTCGCCCTAATATCCATGAATTTTACTGCAAATTTTTTTCCATGTAAAGGCATTTTTGGTCATTTAGAAGAGAGGAATAGAATGGATAGTTTTATAAAAGAATTATGATATTTTGCTAATAGTTAAAAACAATTAATACATCCTAGGGATAATGTCATTGTCTATTATTGTTATTATGTTGGTAATTGCATTGTTTATTATTATTATTATTAAATATTTTTGTTTTTATTAAAAATTTTCACTTTACTCTTGATTAGTTATTTAGAAGAGTACAATTTGTATAGAGCTTGGGCTTTAAACAATTGAATTAGAGCCTACATTCAAATAGTGTTGAGAAATGTGATTTTAATATTAGAAATCTTTGTGATAGCTTTAAAATATTTGTTGAGTAATGATCTTATAAGACCTTCTATTCATGTGTGTAGGTTCTTAAAAAGATCACTATTAAATTTGACATGGATTTTTTGCATATGGGATTTGATGTTTTTAGATATTTGTACCAAATTTAACGATAATTCTTTGGTGTCTTTTATACAACCAAAGATTTATGCACTTAGGAATATGAGATGAGGTTAAATATTTAAATTTGCTTATACATATTGTTCAGTATAAAAACGAAGTATTTTTTTGCTTTCTTTTTTTATTCAAAAGTTTGATTAAGTTTGCAATTTTTTATTTTTATGTTATTTCATTGTTGTATACAATGTAAAAATTTGGAGGGACCTTTGTTTCACATTTTTGGGTTTTCGAGGTTTTGTTAACTGCAATCGTACTTTGAGGGCATTTTTTTTTCTCCGTAACAGTAATCTTATTACCGCCCTTGTTATGAGTTTATGTAATTTTTGTGTTTAGTATTGTTGGGTTTTTTCATTGTACGTATTGATAGCAAAGCAAGCATGCTGCACTTGATGAAAACTTAGACGAAAAATTGTGAAAACTTTGACAAAAAATTGTCAATTTATTGCCTTGAATGATACCAGGTTAGAATATAAAAATATTGTTTAGACTTCAATATATTCATACTATAATTGCAATTCATAATTTTATCTTATATCATTTTCATATATCCAAAATTTTCACTCTATTTTTTGAGTCAATGTTTACCACTCTTTAACTTACCTAATTTTTAAAGATATGTATTTTGACCTGATTTTCACTCGACTTTTCAGAATAAAATCAATTTATTACTCGTGTTTTTGTTTTACCGATATATTATTATTCCCCGACGTGTTGTACATGTAATTACCTAATTTTGACCTTTTCTCGAACTAGACTTCGATATTGGAAAGTTCACATTTTCAAATCGTCGTGCCGTTTTTTGTTTTTTAATGTTTTCTATTAGAATTTCTATGTCATGCTTTTCTCTTTCATTGGAATTTTTTTTGGGTATTTTGTTTTTTTATTTTCATCGAAACAATCATGTCAAATAAAGTTTTGACCAATATTGAGCTTTTAAGAAAGGTGTGTGGTTTGTATAGAGCCTAGGTTCTACACAATCAAATTAGAGCCCACCTTTAAATAGTATTAGGGAAATGTGGTTTCAATATTGAAAATCTTTGTGATAGCCTTAAAATATATTTTAATTTTTATTTATAAAGTTAAAAGGTTCAAAAATAGTATTGAACAACATATCTATGAAAACCCGAAAATCTTGAAAATTGATGGTCAAAAAATGCGTTACAAAATACACTATTTCCAAAACTTAAAATCTATTTCTTTCCTCATGTCCATGCATCTTGATGCCAAGATGATCAATTTGAGGATATTTAGGCATCAAAACAAAGTCTTCTCCTAAAAGTTTTGAGGTAAGCTCTAATTTGATTGTTTAGAGCCTTGGCTATATATAAACTTTTCCCTTAAAAAAATATGATGAATATAGGCAATTATTCATCTGCAAATTATTTTACACATTTCGTTTGTGAAAATTTCTGTTATATTGACAAAAAATAACTACAAAATAATGAAATTCTCAAACTTAACAAACTCCCAATCTGCCATGGACCATTTTCAATTTTCACCCTCTTATTATTATTATTATTTTAATTCAACAAAGAACTCAGGTGCCCTTTATCGTTTATAGAGAGCGGAGGCTCTAAACGATCAAATTCGAGGCCATCTTAAAAATTTTCCTAGAAGCAGTTATTTTGATGCCCAAATATCTTTAAATTGATCATTTGGACATCAAGATGCATGGACATGAGAAAAAAATGGTTTTCAAGTTTTGGAAATATTGTATCTAGTAACGCATTTTTGGACTGTCACTTTTCAAAATTTTCAAGTTTTCATATATTTGCTTGATCAACACTATTTTATGTTTTAAGGCTATTACAAGATTTCCAATATTGAAACCACATTTCTCGACACTATTTGATGATGAGCTTTATTTTGATTGTTTAAGGCTTCGGCTTTATACAAACCGCACCCTTTTTATAATTGTTTCCATTGAAAGTAATATTATATTATGTAGTATCATACTTCATATTAGTTTATATATTATATTATATTATATTATTGTCCATTACATTATATAACATATTTATTATAATATATAATATTTATATGCTAATATACATTATCTAATGTATATTAGCCTTCAAGAATGTCATTTAGTTCTGAATCATCTAAGATGGCTGAACCTACTAGAATTTCTTTCTCTTCCGTACCATAGATAGAGATTGAAAAAGGGAAAAATAATAAAGATGGGGTTATAGAAGAACTTGATCAGCTTAAAAATCAACAGATTGTTCAACCTACCTATAAGGTAGAAAACCCTTCAACACAGAATGATAAATATTCGGATGGCTCCCAAGGACCAACATTCTCTTATATGGGATACAGTTCCAATATCCCTGAAGGGTCTCTTAATATGCTTGAAATTGAAAAGTTCAAAATCGAATATAAACTTTTAAGACAATAGAGAAATAAAGGAGTGGTTTCTTAAACATAGTAAACCCCTTAAGAAATTTCTTGATGACGAATATATTAGGACAATGATAAGGAACAAAATTAATATAAGGTTCTTTACCTGGTTGAAATATTATATGGACTCAAAAAATGAAAAATTTCCTGATAACCTGTATGATATCAGAGCCATTGATCCTATCTGTATAAATACTTTTTTGTATCAGCACTCTTTCCAAGTCCTGATAAAATACTGTTCATCACAGTCGTAATAGTAATATGCCACCATAAGTCGTGAACAGTGTCAAAGACAGGCCATTAATTCATTGATTCGGTTGACTCGAGTGTGTACATTATTGATTCGATGGCAGAACTTTTCAGACTCGGCTCTCAAAGGTCTGATGCTGAAGCTAATTCATATAGTAGATCAGTAAGAAATTCTGAAGAAATTGTTATTGCTAACATTGAAAAATATTTAGACAATTGGAATATCCCTAAGGTCTCTACTTCTGAAATATATAGTAAGGGAACTTTTAAATTTAGAAGTGATTATGCAATCAAAATGGAAGAAGAAACCAAATCTGCCTTAAATACTGAAACTACCATAAATTTGTTAAACAAAGATCGTATTGAAGATTTTAGGAGAAAAAAATATAATTATCTTCATATTGGTCTTGTTCAAGTTGGTATTAGACCTTTAACCAGGGTTGGGCTCCAAACTGCTATCCTCTCGTGCTTAAGAGATAGTAGACAGAGACAATTTATGGACTCCTTATTAGGAACTGTTGAATCTAGTCTCTGTGAGGGACCAGTTTATTTCAACTGCTTCTCAGGTTTCTCTGTTTTTTTTACTGACCCTCATATTTTGAAAGTCATTACTTTTAACCTTTTAACTAATGGTTTTGACATGGATGTTGGGTCACAAAACATTGCTGTTACCTATAGGGTCTGCTATAAATCCATGACCACTATCTGTCCTAATATTGGGAGGATTGCCTCTAAGGGTCAGACTACTCTTTTCCACACTAATGTTGAAAAATTTAATCTGATTACTCCTAAAACTATTTAATGGGATCAGGTGAATTTACCTGAAAAAATGGATTTCACCCTGTGCTGTCCCTCCTAAACTGTTA